GAACTTACACTCCAGGTATTCCGTCTTCGTTCTGCTCAGCTTGAAACCCTTAGACTCAAGAGCCTGTCTCCAACCCTCCAGCCTCTCGTTAACACCGGCTCACGTTTCATCAATCAAAACTATGCCATCGGCGAATAGCATGCACCATGGCACCTCCCCTTGAATATGCGTCCATCACCAGGGCGAATAAGAACGGAGGTGTAACCCCATAACAGCCGAAAAATGCTCAGAGTCGNCAAGCCTCACATCCATGCCCTCTTCCCCTGGCTCAGCGCTGAACTTACACTCCAGGTATTCCGTCTTCGTTCTGCTCAGCTTGAAACCCTTAGACTCAAGAGCCTGTCTCCAACCCTCCAGCCTCTCGTTAACACCGGCTCACGTTTCATCAATCAAAACTATGCCATCGGCGAATAGCATGCACCATGGCACCTCCCCTTGAATATGCGTCCATCACCAGGGCGAATAAGAACGGAGGTGTAACCCCATAACAGCCGAAAAATGCTCAGAGTCGCCTCCTACTGTCCTTACCCGAGTCTTAGCCCCATCATACATGTCCTTAATCACTATAGTGTAAGGAACCGACACACCTTTTGCCTCCAAGCATCTCTAGAGAACTTCTCTAGGAACCTTGTCATATGCTTTCTCGAGGTCAATAAAAACCATGTGCAGGTCCTTCTTCCTATCTCTGTACTGTTACACCAATCGCCTAACAAGGTGTATAGCTTCTATAGTAGAACGACCCGGCATGAACCCGAACTGGCTGTCGGAAACAGACACCGTCATCCTCACCCTCGCTTCAACCACCCTCTCCCACACTTTCATGGTATGACTCAGTAATTTGATACCCCTATAATTGTTACAACTCTAGATATCACCTTTGTTCTTATACAATGGAACCACCGTACTCCACCTCCACTCATCCGACTTCCTCTTCGCCTTAAAAATAACATTGAACAACCCGGTCAACCACTCCAAATCGGCTCTCCCCACACACTTCCAAAATTCCACCGGAATCTCGTCAGGCCCTGTCGCCCTACCCCTACTCATCTTACTCATAGCTCCCATGACCTCCTCAACCTTGATGCGCCTGCAGTACCCAAAGTCGCGGTGACTCTCGGAATGCTCCAATTCACCTAGCACGATATCCCGATCCTCTTCTTCATTCAGAAGTTTATGAAAGTAGGTCTGCCATCTCTTCTTAATCTGGGAATCTTCCATCAATACTCTACCATCGCCGTCCTTGATGCATTTCACTTGGTCCAAATCCCGAGCCTTCCTCTCTCTCAACTTGGCCAGCCGGAATAGCTTCTTCTCACCGCCTTTTTCCCCCAATTCCTTGTACATATGACCATAAGCTGCAGTCTTAGCCTCTGTGACCGCCAGCTTAGCTTCCTTCCTAGCTACCTTATACCTCTCCATGCACGCACGCCTCTCCTCCTCACCTATGCTCCCCACTAACTTCAGGTACGCCGCCTTTTTCACTTCCACTTTACCTTGGACCACTTCATTCCACCACCAGTCTCCTTTGTGCCCGCCAACGACGCCCGTCGAGACCCCTAACACCTCTCTCGCAACCTCCCTTATACAGTCTACTGTCGTTGACCACATAGTGCTCGCGTCACCACTGCTCCTCCAAGCTTCCATAGCCGACAACCGCCCCTCCAGCTGTTGTGCTTTATCCTTAGTTAAGGTTCCCCACATGATTCTCGGTCTTCCTCGAGCAGACCTTTTCCTCCTCTTCAACATAATACCAACGTCCATCACCAAGAGCCCATGCTGTGTCGCGAGTATCTCACCTGGAATCACCTTACAATCCTTGCACAACCCTCTGTCACACCTCCTGAGGAGGAGATAGTCAATTTGAGTCTTCGCCACTGCATTTTGAAAAGTAACTAAATGCTCCTCCCTCTTCGGAAAGGTAGAGTTCGCAATCACCAACCCAAAAGCCTTAGCGAAGTCCAACAACGAGGTACCTCCTCCGTTCCTCTCCTCAAAACCGAAGCCTCCATGCACCTCGGCATAACCACCCGCGGTCGACCCAATATGACCATTGAAATCCCCTCCTATGAATAGCTTCTCAGCAGGCGGAACCTGGCGCACAATCTCATCTAACCCTTCCCAGAAACGCTGTTTAACCTCCTCATCTAGGCCCGCATGCGGCGCATAGGCGCTAAGATTTGGGGATGCTAAGATTAAATAAGTCATGTCATTACGGGTAAATTAAGGGTAAATTGGGGATGCTAAGATTAAATGGTACTTGGAACAAACTGAAAAGGAAAATGTGTCATATAAAATGAGACACAAGAAGTATTTCTTTATTTCTAGTGTTGCTAACTAATGTATGTCATCTTTGTTTTGAAGTGTTTCTAACTACAGACGAGCCAAAATTTATACATTGTAACTGCTGCCATTCCACTTCTACTGCTGATACATTACTCTCTTACTATCACTATGCTTAGTATGCTTCTTCTGCTACTTAGTACTAGTGCTACTGCCAGTACTAAATGCTGTTGCTGCTACTGCTACTGCTACAACAACCCTACCGTACCATTCCCACAACTACTCTCTTCATGAACTCTTTGGCTTTCCTAAACAATGCGCTACAGGTTTTTGAAACTGTCTTTTGTGACTTCTTCCAGCATTGGTGCTCCCGCTCTGTGCTTTTAGGATCTTTAGTGCATTGTCGCTCTCGTCCTGTCTGTTATCTGTATTTTTGTTATAGGACTGCCTAAAACATCATGTTTAGATGATTTGGTTCTTAATAGTTTGCTTATTGTTCAAAACCATAACCAAAGATATGAACTCTGTCATCATTTTGTTTTGGCTCCATTTTCTTTTACTGCTTTACTCTGAGAGGGGAATGGGAGGCGGTTGGACTGGAGATGGCTTGAACTATTTTTCACACTAACTTTTTCTCACCAACTTTTTTCGCAGGGAAATGATTGCCTACATTGCGAATACTTTAATATTCATCTTGAGGTTAGACTTGTTAACAGTCTATTATACAAACTAATGTTGTTTCTTTTCCTTTTGTCTTAATATCATTTTGTTCCATTTCTATGGTACATTTTTGTTATGATGACATTGTGACCATCTTGGTCTTCTTATTTAGTAGCAGTTGAAGTATTATTAGTACTTACTTTTGATTTGGACGTAAGTTTTTCGCTATGGAAAAGCTTATTTAGAGTATCCTGCCTATTTCTAATTGCGCTTTTGCGTCTGAGAGGTTCATTATTTTCTTTCAATTTCTTCCACCAGCTGCCTTTTATGCGAAGTTACTGTTCTCCTGAATCTGTTATTATGGCGCTCTTATTTGCTTTCGTTCATTTGCGATGATTTGGTTGGTCTGAGATGTCCCACTTTATCACTTTCTTATGTTCTATTGATGTTGTACTAACTCGAAGTTAGAATATCTGAATATGTACTTACTCCTTTGTAGGCATTTGAGTAAAGCTTTTCTTATATCTGAACACGAGTCAAATCTATTTCTCAACCCTTTTCTTCTTTTGATAGGGTTAGACATGTTTCATTCAAAGTCCTTCCTTGCTATAGTTTTCTTCTTCCTCGTTGCCCGTATGCTGTAGAATTGTTACTTTATGGAAGAGTCTACACATACTAGACAATTACAAAATAATCTTTAAGGAGATTTCTCTAGTCCTGTTCTATCTCCAATCAAAGAAATATATCTTATTGCAATTGTAATTGTTCTGTTCTTTCTCACGAAGTTGTATTGCCCCGTTTTCCATATATTTATATCTATTAGATAGTGTTGTTAATCCACTTCCTGTTCTGAGCGTAACTGAAGGACCCCTTGGTGCATGGTTGGCTATTATCCTCCTTTATTGTTATTGAATCAATGATGTTGCTTACAAACACTGACTTTTTGCAGCGGAGTTATCATAGCTCAAAGCATCTTCAGTATCAGAAATTTCGACGACAATACAGGTAGTTCTTCACCCTTTATTTATTATGTGATACTTCACTTTGTGTAGATGGATAATAACTGTTTTCCTATTACTTGAAGTGTGTGGTACATGCTGTACAGCACAATAAGTTGGGCAACCTGATTTTCCACCCAATTGAGTAACTAAAAGTCTCAGAGTCATTTTCTTAAATCTTTTTTTTTGAGAATCAATGCATCTGCTGTATGGATGCAGCAACAACACAAGTAGTTGGCACCTTAGGAAGTGCTGAGACTTGGATTGTAAAGAACTAGGAGTATAAAAGTGGTACAATAGCCTTGGTTGTCTGACATGTGACCAGATGCACCTGAGTAAAAAATCTAGGACCCAATCAGGAGGAAATCCTGAGAAAGCCACTGATTGATGAAGCTGTAGGGAGACAGCAAGATAAGCAGCAAGTTGAAATGTTTGTCACTGGATGCTCTAGGAGATGAGTATATTGGAGCACATTTTTCTATTGAAATTACCAGACATGTTTCAATTGAATAGAATTCAATAAATGTCAATAGTTCAAATCCCTAAGGCAACGGGGAACAAAATCAGTACCTAGCTTCCTAGGTTGACCGACGAACTAACTGCTAACATATGAACAAATTCATCTAAACTTCACTAGGATCTTAATTGAACCAGTCTCAATTGACAACCAGCTTCAAACTGACCAAACAAAGGCTAGAAACAAACCCAGCTTAACTGAAGCTTCGAGGTGCTGACCAAGTAACAAATTGCCAGAACCACAGATCAGCACCAAGAGTATGGTCTGTGAGAGAACTGACCTCGGAAAAGATAAAGCAAATGAAACATAACGGAAATGGATGAATTAGCAGATTGGCAGTCCAAAAAGTATTAGCATAACAAACAGACCAGACCAAAAGGTGGAACATTCCAGTATCAAAGAAAAGTGCTGACCAAAGGCCAATTACTAAGTGCAGTTGCAACTTCATAAATATAAAGCTCAAGATGGAAAGGAACCAGACACAAAGATAATGTCACAAGCCAAAGATGGATTAATAGCTAACTTCCATAGATCAGAATGCTAAAAAATAAAAATCCAGATTAAGATCAGTCACTGATGATGATCTTTCAGACCAAAATAGAGAGCTCTCCTTCCCATGGTACGAACCAAAATTCAAAATTATCACTGAAAACTAATAATGAACAAATAGTGTGATCTTCTTCCACCAGAGAACAAACCAAGATCCAAATATTAATACTGGTGATAAAACGACCGAGTAGAGAACCAGAGACGGAGATAAAGCCATAGGCATGTGACAGCAATGACAAAAACCGACTATGGAAACTAACAAAGAGTACAAAAAAAACATAAAGGCAGCAACCAATGCAATGCCTCAGATCAACCAACAACGAATGCTGGGGACAACCTTAGCAAACAACAAACACTAGGCTATGATATCTTATGATGACAGAGATATGGTGGAAACCCCTGTTTATTGTGCTAGGTTCTCTACACCAATTATATTAGTTGTTGAGTTATTTACAATGAGGAATAAAATAATGGGTGCATAAACTTAGGTCTCCAATTATTTACTATTTATATTTAACAGAAACATGAAGATTTAGTGTATTCAGGAGAAATAAGAAAGGGGGGAAAGGTAAAGATGCAGAGAATCACCCATTGATGCTCATATGCATCACACCTCAGGTTGGGTATTGTTGAGCACCTGTCCAGTTTCTGAGATCCCTCAACTTAGATGTATTCTTATTGACATATTATTATTATTATTTCTTTGGAGAATTTTTGTGAATTTTTCTTAGATTTTATTCCACTACACTAAATTTCCCGGATATCAAGAAAAATTCTTATATTTACGAATTTATATTGTAGGGAGATCTTGGGGCTATATCTTTCTTATCTACATCATTCTTCAAGTATCTCGAGCCATCGTTGTTTTTGTGTTTTACCCTGCCCTTCGCTACTTTGGTTATGGTTTGAATTGGAAAGAAGCTACCATTGTCATATGGTCTGGTTTGAGAGGAGCTGTTGGTTTGGCACTCTCCTTATCTGTTAAAGTAAGTCGTTTTCTGCTAAGTTTGTAATTCATATGGTTTCGTGTATCATTTACTCTTGAAGCTTAGATACAAATGATCACAGAAGATACAGTATTATCTTTTTTTCTAAAAAAAAATATTTTTACTTATCTAACTTGCATGTCTAGGAATGTTTTGTACTGGTGTGAAATATACTCCTAATATACGAAAGTGTATAATGTGTAGGACCTAACAGTATTATATCCTAAATGTAAGTATGTAACAACTTTGTTGCCTGTAATTAGTTTAGGAAAGAAAGTCAGTTTGTACTTGGTAAGCTTTTTGCTAAAATAAAACAGTCCAAGAGAGATAATGTGAAAACCTGTGAGCTTCATTAAGTACTGATGCACTTTTAGGTTTGATTGCTTTTATTGGTTGGTTACCTCCTCCCTCCCAAACCAAAAAAGAAGGCTTTCTCTTCCTAGATCCTGAATTTAACTGCGTAAGTTTTTCTTGCACATCGATCAGGCACTCCTTAGTCTTTATAATTTAAGTACTTGTCAAAAGCTCATAACACTTTGAGCGCTCTCATTCAACTTCAGTAGTTCTTTATTTCCACTTCGTTGCTAATCAGCCCACCAGTTTGATTTCAAGCGACAGACTAAGTAGGTAAATTCGCTATCTATGGAGAAGATAGCTTCCATTTGATATCCTACAGCAATTAGAGTACGAGCAGTACAACTTATAACTGAATAAAAAGCTTATCATTTTTTTCACTTGTGTGTCAAAGCTTTATGAAGCATATCTATGATGTAGGCGCTGGAAGAGGGATGATAGATTTTCTTTTACTTAATAATATTTACACACGGTTTTCTTTCTAAATTTCCAGAGTGCTAGTGGCGATCCAAAGTATCTCAGTGCAGAAACTGGAGCTATGGTATGTTTTTATTGACAAACAATTGCAATTTAGTTGCAGTTCATATGCCCTACTTTTGGAAGTCATTGATTCATTGCCATGATTACCTTGTAGTTTTTTGGCATCTGAAGCTTAAGCTATCAACTTTCTTTGACATGTAACTGAAACTCCTTTCTTATCGTACAGTTTGTTTTCCTTACTGGTGGAAGTGTGTTACTGACACTCATTATCAATGGATCTACTGCACAATTACTTCTAAGTCTCTTTGGTATGGACGCTCTATCAAAAAGTGAGGTAAAATTCTGGTGTAATTTATGTCCTTTGTTTTGAGGAACTTACCTGCCCAAGAAATTGTGATCCATGTATGTCTTTTTATGTAGTTTCACCTTGTTAGTCAGGGCTCAACCATGTTAAATTTCAGTAAGTACCCTTTTCATTGAAAATCCTACCTGCCCTAGGACTTGCAGGACATCTATACCTTTTGTGTATATTCAATCTTATCAATCAGCTTCTTAGTGTTATGGAATGAGAGGAATCAATGATGTTTCGGGAAAAGGAGCATTTTTACATAACTTGAAATACAAGTTCCTGTATTTAGTAATTCTGTGCTTAATTCTCCAAAAGTTATATGAAGTGTATACCGAAGTTGAATGTTGCCTAACCTACACCTCATTTGTACTAATCCGAGCATCAGCTTATTGATTGTTTTTTTAATTCTATAAGATTGCTTTTACTTATAAAAAAATGAGTGTTGCTATGTTACCTGCTTGTCTTTAAACCATTACATTGTCACTTTATTTATGGCCTTTGTAAGCTTCTCAATGCATAAGGATCATCAGCTTGAACTCATATTGGTCCTATTTCCTGATAAAATATTTTCGTGTAAATCTAGAAAGAAATATCTGCATAGAATTAGCTAAGTCATTCTGGTCCTTGTTAACTTCAAATATGTGGCGAATAACCAGGAAACATACCCGGTGTACTCAACCACTGCTTGTATTTCGTATTTGAGACGTGGTCTTTTTGTTGAGGGAGCCATCCTTCTTATAGTATAATTTGTTTCAGGAAACCATGGTCAATTATGCAAAACATCAACTATTGAGAAAGGCTGAAGAGTTTTCTAGAATCTGTAGTGGACGCGATAATCCTTTCGATTGGATCACTGTTGGAGGTTATGCCACATGCATAAAGGATGTCTGTGAAGACACAATTTGGCCTCCCTGTACCACCAACAATAGCTATCTAGATATAGATGATATGAAGACTATGAGAGTATGCTTTCTGAAAGGTCAGTTACTGCGCCTGGACTAGTTGGTCTATAGTTTGCTTTTACAACCTTTCTGGTGTCTGGCGCCTGCATTTCTCATCTGGGCTTTCAGCTTTCCCCTTACTTTCTTTTGTAAGTGTTGCAAGATCAGATATTGCTTCTCTCATCTATTTGATTGACAGATTATTGATGCCATATTTGATCATGAACTGTGGTCCTCTTTTTGTGAGTTACCTTGACATATCTTCAGTTTGTTCCTATAAAAGACCTGCATGTTCTTCTCCTCTAAAATCCGAGGAATATAAGGAACTGAAGAGTTAGAATGCAATGTGAAGTTTTCTAGTGAGCTGAACGTCAGCATTCATTATTTTCACGAGTTTTTACACCTGTAACCCGATTGGTATGTGATATTGTGAGCTTACATCATGCAGAAATTTGCTTCTAGGACATCTCTCTTGTTTACCATAGCTTTGCATCCCTCCTTGGTAACATTTCATTAAAAACTCGTGTCTTCTATTTTCCTTTGCTAATATGAGTAAGAATGAAATTCCATCTTATCCAAATGTCTCGAAACACATCCGTGTAGCCTTGAATTTTTGCCAACTTAAAATTTTTAATAGCTGTGTGAAGCTGTATGCGTGACTTCTTTTTATTCTTCATTTAAATATTCACCCTGTGGACCTTATTCAAGGCGGCCTCTTCTTTTCTCCTTTTGTCTTCCATTCTAAATGCCTTAACAAGTTTATTCATGGCCTTACTTCTGTTATTTGCATTTCTTCTACTACAGCTACTCGTGAGGCGTACTGGTCAACATTCAATGAGGGGAGGACAACTGAATCCACTATCAGTGTTTTGATGGAATCAGTGGATGAGGCAATTGATCTGGCTACTCAGGGATTGCATGACTGGAATTATATTTCTACTCGCCTCAAGTTTCCGGGATATTGTAAATTTTTCACAAATGTTTGTCCTCCGAGGCTAACAAGGTGGTTTGTGCTAAAGAAATTACAGGATAGTTGTCATATATGCTCTGCATTTATCCATGCTCACAGAATCGCAAGACAGCTTCTTCTTGACTATACTGGTAAGTGTGGGTACCAGCTTTAGATAAAAAGAAAATATGGCTGATGCATTCGGTCCTTGTGGAGTATCTTATATGTAAATCAGGTTCTAAAAGCAATGCGTTTTCATGTGTACTTTTTCTTTCGTAACATTGAATTCTGAACTCCTGCTCTTTGAGAATTGTGCCTCCTGTTCATAAGGGCTCTTTTTTCCCCACTTTTTTCTTTGTCTTTCTTTGGGAGTTGACTCATGAAGTCATTTGACAATCCCTCTACATTTTAAAGGTGACAATGGAAATGCTGCAATTGTTATTGCTGAAAGTGAAGCCGAAGAACTAGAAGCAAGGAAGTTTCTAGAATCTGTCAAGAATTCAATGCCTGAGGTTTGTGAACATTTTTGTGTGAAATCATGCGTTGAAGCTCTTGTTTAAATGGCGCATTGACCATTTGATTGTCAAGAGTTTGCAACATGGTTTTCTTAGCAGTTTTCTTAAATTAACTTTTATTTGCTAGAATATAACTCTATGTAAGCTTATCACACAAGTTCAGCTGAATTAAGCCATTGAATTCTGAACATTCTAGATCTTACATCAAGCGGAATCAAGGCAAGTTACATTTTCAATGCTGAAGTGTCTGGATGAATGTCTCAATGATATGGAGAAAGAAGGGATTTTAACTGAGAAAGTTGTGCTGCATATACATGATTTGCTTCAGGTAACTGTATTTCATGTGAAATTTCCAGCGCCGTAGCATTATTTTTTGTTGTATGCTTATTGTTGTATGTATACATGTTTTTCAACTCCAAACTAGAATGACCTTGAAAAGCTCTCGAGAAGTCCTCCTTCAGTAAGATTCCCAAAGCTAGGAGATGTCATAAGTATCCATCCTTTGTTTTTAAACCTTTCTCCTGCTATTCGATATGATCTGGAACGCTCCTCGAAGGTCATATTGAAGACACCAGGTTGTACACTCTACACGAAGGGTTCCAAGCTGACGAGTGTCTGGCTGATAGGAAATGGATCAGTTACGGTAAGTAAAGGCAGCATAAGGAATCTATTCAAGTAACTATATTTCCAGATAGCTAGCATTATTGTATCTTTGTTTGATCATTGAAAAAGCTTGCCTTCTTTCTTCTCCAGTCGAAAAGGAGCCCGTTTCCTTTTCATTGTCCTGTGGATTCAACATATGCTCGAGGAAGTATTTTAGGTCTATATGAGGCTCTTGTCGGAAAGCCATATTTGTGTGATATGGTGACAAATTCTGTGGCTCTCTGCATCAAAATTAAGCTGGAGTCAATCATTTCACTACTGGCCCAGGGCAATGGAGTGGAAGAATTGTTATGGAAGGTGATCTTTGACAATCTTTGCATGACTCAATGTGCAACTCAAACATTTATGTTAGCATAAGTGCACAATAAGTACTGTCATACATGAGAAAATGCTGTTGTCAGAAGTGCCNATATATATATGTTAATGAAAAATGAATTTTTAATTATTATTTTGGTTTGACAAGTTCTTCGTAAACAAGGGACAGTATTTTCTGAATTTCACAATCCATCTCATGTGCAGGAGTGCACCATTGCTGTTGCTAAGCTCTTGGCGCCTGATATGTTCAAGAAATTCTCAATGCAAGAAGTAAGAGGTATTGTTGATGAAAGATCGGTCATGAATACTTTCTCAAGTCAAGAAATAATAGAAACTTCTCATCATTCCATCAACTTCCTGTTAAGCGGTTGCTTGAGAGATCAAACTACCGAGCAACTAATTGAATGCCCAGCAATATTGCCATGTTCCATTTTGAATGAAAGCGTCCCTTATGCCCGTGCCAACGTAATGGGTAGGTCTCCTCATTATAATCTGTCTCCTTATTTGAAACTGTGGTTACCAAAGTTGACTTCCTCGTTAGTTTGGTCGACCACACTCAGCAGAAAAATTTGTCCATTACTTATTTGTTGAGACTTTGTCATGTGGTCAAAGATGCAAGCAGGTGTTTAATCCTCATTAACATGCTCGCTTCTCCTTGCTGTTCATAGACTTTGTTGTCTTATGGATATATTCAAGTAGCGCTGTTTCTGCATCCTCTGGATGCTCATTAAAAAAAGACTTACTTCATAAAAATGAAAGGGAAAAAGAATGAAAAGATAAAGGAGCTATTCAAATAGGGAAAAAATGGTTGATTGTTGGGATTTTCTCTAACTTTTTAGAAAAAAACTTGCAGATTTGATGAATGAGATGATCTATTAGGAACTGTCCTGTCTTGAGCTTATTGAACTCTTGCAAAACTTACCTGATCGCTGGTTGTCTTCTCCTGTTAGTTTGACTTATTTCCTGCTTTAAGTGATACTTAGAACCTAAGGGAAGTAATTTTAATTTAGGAAGTGTCTTGCCTTGAAGTATTCTCCTTGTGTTGTTTCCTAAATTATGGTGCTTTTGCAGGTGAGAGTTCTGGATCATATTCAAAGTACAAAGTTGTAAAAGAAGCAAGGATAGTTCGTGTAGACAACATTTCAGCATAAGAAGTTGGCCATCCAAAACTTTTGGAAGCGAAAAATGGTAAGCCGAGGAGATAACATAATGTTTAACATTGAATTACTTCGATTAGTTGGTCGCAGCTTTTCATTCTAGAGCGTACTTGGTGTCATTCTAAGACCTTCACTTTTCGATCATGAAAAACTGTAAATATTACTACTTGGTTTCATTTCCTTTCTGTGGCTAAGAATGTAAGCCCGTTCTATTTTTTGTGTCAGTGCAATTTACGCTGCTTGAATCTGTGAGTGTCTGCACTTGCAACATTTATTGAGAAAACTAGCCTCCGTAGCTCCTCTTTCTCCATTTACACGAAATGGCCCTCCGGCCCAAACATATTACATCTAGTAGCTCGAAATATTTATTTTGTATAGTGACAGTCTATTTTGTATATCTTTTGTATAGTGACAGTCTATTTTGTATATTTTTGTATAGTGACACTTAAAAAATTCACTGCCACTCTTACAAAATATATACAAAATAGACTGTCACTATACAAAAATTATACAAAATAGACTATTACTATACAATTTATATACAATAGACTTGTTATTCCAAACTTAATTTAAATGCGTTACTATTTTTGTTATTCGATTTTCAGAGCAAAATCTGATATCACTTTGCATAGTTCTAGGATAAATTTGACCATTTTCTCTTGTAAAAAAATCCATGTTGAAAAGCTTTTGCTGGTAGTCAGTAAGGTCAAGTTTGTCACATGACTGGTAGAATCAACACCTTTCAGATGTGAGTATATAGCAGATCCATCAAAATTCAAGACAAGCAAATAAAAAAGGTCATATTTTCATTTTTGAAAAAATTGCTGAACCAAAAAGCCTAACACAGGATTATTTGAAATATCATAATCACATTAAAGGAACTCGTCATTGCTCCGTAATGAAAAGTTCTCCACAATTTTGTGAACTCCAATTTACGAAAGTGAACAAGTAAGTAGCGATAAAAATAAAAACAAGATAGGAGTAGCTTTCAAGTGCCAAGTGGGAAGAAAACTCATTTTTAAATTAATACTGGTAGCTAACGGAACTGTAAAACGAAAGGGGATGTCTGAAAATGCCCAAACAATTTACTTCGAATTTCTCTAAGTAGGCGGCAAAAGGGGATGTCTGAAAATGCCCAAACAATTTACTTCGAATTTCTCTAAGTAGGCGGCAGGGTAAGGGGAAAGTATGAATTAAAGTAGGTTACAATGTTGAAAAGTTTGAAATTTGAAGGGGGAAGAGTGGCAGTGGTTTTGGGCTAGCCCTTTAAGGCGGATGTAATGTATTACCTACGGGTTTAACTGAACTCATAACTTTCGACGCGGAGTAAAAATTTATTAAAATTACAAAAATAGTAGATTTGAACCCATAACTTTAAAAATTTAATGGGTTCAATGCTAAAAATTTTAAAATTGAATCCATAGAATTTAAATCTTGAATCCGCCTCTGCCTATTGTCATTAGTTTTTCCATGGCTACAAATGAAGTTTGCTATATATCCATTGTGCATCTTAAAATGTAAGTTTTCAAACAAATAATCCAATATTCTCGAAATCATGGAGGGGTAGAGGGGATCACCATGCACCAACCTTAGCACACAAAACAGGATTCTATGTAACAAGGCTGTACAAGTCCTATGCAGGACGAATATACATTGTCTCATGGGACACTGCTTCGTTAAAATATTACGCATACATATAGAAAATGATCCGCTTATTACTATAGTAAATTATTCATTTGTTCACTTTTTCAAATATTGACACCTCTTGGAAAATCGTGTGTACGTCTTGTTCCTATCTTGTCTTATGAGTATTAAAGGACAGCTTGGTGCACGAAGCATTTCGCGTTTACGCAAGGTCCGGGGAAAACTGCACCCCAAGGGAGTGTGATGTAGGCAGCCTACCAAGCATATTCCACCGCTCAAATCCTTGACATGTTGCTGCAGGGCTCTCCTTTCAAGTATTAGTTAGTTAATAATAATATCTCAGCAGCAAGAGACAACCGAAACAACTTGTTGTTGTGGGCCTTTCTAAATTGGAAAGAACTTTTAGTTGGTGGGGCACTTGAATAAGTTAAGGAAGAATCAATACCAAAAGCCGAAAAGGAATGGATACAGACAAGTCAAAATGTTCATGCATATTCCTATTTCAATTATTAGTATTCTCGTTGTTGTCTAATTCCCTCCGATTTCTGTCTTTTTATTTAATACTTTCCTTTTTTACTTATTAAGTAATATTATTAATATTAAGTAACAATCAAATTTAAAATTTCCCTGGTAGAGTTGCGATTTTACATACAAATTGTGCAAAGTTCAATTTTTTGTAGGTCTTTGCTTTCTCCTTCCTCTTCCTCGGACCTGTAATTGTTGATGTTGTTTTCTATGAAGTAATATATTACGTATGTGAAAAATCAAAAAAATAAAAATAAAATTTTGCATGAAGTCTTAATTTTAAAATTTAGCAATTAATTCAATAATAAGAACCTTAAATTAAAGATTAGACTCATCATACAACAACTATACTGAATTCAGAGGTCCATTTCCACAAGTACTATTCCATATTATAGTCTTTGAATTGCCCGAGTAGTATTGCAGGGTTTAAAAAAAAAACAGTGTGATACTTGAATTCTATATGTTACCACAGTAACAAAAAAACTCTAAACTCATTCCAAATGGAGCAAGTTAGACAATTATGCAAGTTCCAAGTCGAGTCAATATTTAATAAGTTAGTCAAAATTGAAACACCATGTGGATGCAAATTGCAAATTGCAAGATGATAGATTGACAGAAGGAAGATCGTACAATCCAAAGCAAAGATTTGGTGCAATGAATTTATGAGAGAAGTCATAGTAACCACCGATGATTGTGGTGGATAGATAATCCCTCCATCCTTAATCACACGTACTCGGTTAGGTTGACATCTAGGTCTCGGTCGGGGGCGATTTCCAAATTATGGTCTCATTCTTTCCTTCCGTTCAGAACTCAGTTGACTGCTTCTGTATAGAAGGCGGAGCGTCCTTGGCTCAGCATTATAGCATTATAGCACATAAGGCTTCAGCGCTACTACAGCTCTTCGCTAACTCGAAGTGTCTCACTATGAGAATCTAGCTTCGCTGACGCTCGGCTAAGTCTTGAGGTTTCAGGCGCACGAATTCAAATTAATCGGAGTTTAATACAAATATTGGATATGGGAAAAAAAAAGAGAGAAAGAGAAGTCATAGTAAGTAGAAGATGCTCAATTGCCTTATGATCGTTGCACCTAAAACTTCTGCATAATGATTGGAAATGATTAAACAATATTCTCATGATATAACCGACTAAATCTCTCTAGTATTTACAAACTGTATCATTGACTTTTGGTATCACATTACATGAAGCATGTTAACAAAATTATACAACTGTGTGTGCCACCATGTCCACCATCGAGTAAATTCAAAATTTAGACGCTGTGAATTTTGAGTTGAAATTAATTAGTGAGTTTTAAAAATGTATAACGCGCCCACACACACATAAATATATAAAATTCGATCCAGAAACAAAAGTTGTAAAACCGTTGTTAGATCCGCAACTGTCAACCTTACATTCTAAAAGTAGGATATTCATTCTGTAGGATATATCTAGCTGAATGTAACTGGTTTCTCTTCTATAATGGAGCTCGAAGAAAATAAAGTGTGGAAGGAATTTAATTCTAAAAAGTCGAAGATTAATCCCCAAAATAAATATAAACCGCGGTCCTCAAAGCTAAAACACTACACAATCAACGTTTGAAGCAAAGTCGAAGTCAGAATTTGAAGTTTATGAGTTCTGAACTTGACATTGAACTCATAGCTCATCTAAGTTATTGGATTTACAGTCAAGTATACATACATATTTAATGAATATTCTAATATAAGATCTAAGCAAAAACTAATAAGGTCATCCAAACCTATATTTAATGCTCTAGCAACCCCCCCCCCCCCCCAACCCCAATTTTGAAGTCGTATTAAATTCTTAATTGATTATGAACGAAGTTAATGATAATGGTACATGTTCTCCGCCTCTTAGTAAGTCAAAGCATTATTATCAAAGTAGTTGATGAACAATTTGGTTACATAATTACCTGATTAGATTTTCTTAAAAAAACATAATAAGATATCCACATAGAAATAATCACCAACCTTTTCTATCAATCTGGAATAAATTCAGGAATATTCACTTCTGAAAAGATCAGTAATTTTATTTATTGCAAGTAGCTGTGTACCTTCCTTTAACAGAAAAAAGAACGATGTTAAATTGTTAATGCACTTGTAATTGACAAAGTTCAATTTTTTTTATTTTTTTATTTTTCCTTTTCTTTAAGAAAATTCGCTTCGATTTAAATTAGGACCACAAGATTATTTTATGCCCATTACTGTACTTTTGATATGTTAGTGTATATGTACGAAATTCTTTCTTGCTTTCAGAAGTGTGCTATGACCTTTTACGGAGTGCCATTATATATGTTGGCCAAAAGTTAAAGAACTTTGTCAAATGAGAAAAAACTTTTGCATTGTGTTTTACAATCATTGAGTGATTCGCAGTTCATCAGAATTTTTGGTACAAATATACTGGTGAGTTAAATCGTTCTATCCTGGAAGGATATATTCCACCACCTCGGGTACTTGAGGGGAATAATTTTCTTAAGGACACACTGTGTATTCAATGTGCTCGATTTATTCCTATACTGTTTTTTTGTTTTCCAGAATCTATTTCGTTAAACAAGTATTATTAACTTTTTGTTTTGTTTTTTCAGAAAGTTTAATTGTTTATTACAGCAATACAGAATAATAACAGAAATTAAAGTAGATTAAAATATTTCTGGAGCCGTGAACTATATATAAATTTGTTCCAAAATCAAAGATAATTTGCAATTAAACTGATCTTTTACCCATGATTTTTCTACTTAATTATCCATGCTATAGTATTTTTACAAAGAAAGATAGTACTACTGATAGGTTGATAGTGCAAATGTGTAATTAGACTATTAGTTACATTCACTTAGGGCCGTTTGGTTGGAAAACAAGTTATCCTGTAATTAATTATTTCGGAATTAGTTATTCTGGGATTAGTTATCTCACCCTCCCATAGGGATTAAAAAAAATACTACAATCTCGGGATTAGTTATACCACAATTTAGTCTAACCAAATATGAGATAAACTCATTTCAAATTTAATCTCGGGATTAATTATCCCTTATTCACTCATTCCAAACGAGCCTTAAAATATTAAACATTAAGTAGTATATATTAATCCACATATGCTTTTTACGTGTGGAAATGATGATTATAGTAAATTGCCTTAAGACTATACTTAAATTTTCTTTATGTTTATATAGAACCCGTCGTATTAAAATAAATCTAACAAAGGAGGTAGGATGAGGGGCAGAGCTACAATCGATAAAGGGTGGTCAATTGATTTCTCAGTAAAATTTTGGGTTTGCCATTTTATGATTTCATTTGCTTCAATGTACTGTAGAACAGCTAAGGTTGGGTACTAAATATGTTTTCAGTGTTAACACAATATGACAGTGTATAAATTGGACTTTATTACTATACTACTTCCAATTTGATTACAAGCTTCTTATAATTTCATGTCTTACATTTGAAGTAGTTAATATAAGACTTTATTCACACTCTCACCTCTGCATTTATACTTTATGATTAGTTTCCCTCTCTCACACACAAGCCTTTAGAGGAAAGAATTTTTCACACGATGTATTAGTCTATAGTTGATTTGTAAATTTTCAACTAATAATTTACAGTTTTAACAAATATTAGAGGAGCTTATACTCAATCTTGAAAATTTTATACATGCAACTATGGGAGTTTTTAAACAAAGATAAGATCAGCCTGTCCAAATTTGATGTGAAATTAGAACTAAAATACTTCGTAAGTTGAAATTTATCCAATTGTAGAGCTCAAATTTAAAGAGTTTAACTTTTGAAAAGAAGTGAACATTGATTTCAGGTGACATCAGAATTATCACTTAGGTGCAGAGTTTCAATCCTACCAAAGGTCGTTAAAAAATGGACAACATTTAATATGACTGAATTTCAGAGATAATTTTATTTTAAAGAAAAACGTTTAGATATTGGATAGTGCAAACTCCTCTTCTAGAGTTGAGAAAGGATGCAATAATTAATTATAGAAGAATTAACCCAAACATTTAATATAAGGTTTAGTGCTAATTGAGGGTCATATCTAAGAGGTCATACATTTAATATAACTTTTTCTGCATGATTAGTCCATCATTTAGAACTACATATATAACCATTCTTAATAATCAAATGAATTTCTCATATAAGAACATTATTGGCATGATTGGTTTGAATTACAACAACATATCCAGTATTATCCCACACCGTAGGGTTTGAGGAGGGTAGTGTGTACGCAGACCTTACCCCTACCTTGTGAGGATAAGGAGACTGTTTCCAATAGACCCTCGGCTCAGGAAAGCATAAGCATTGGTTTGAATTACAACAACAACATGAGTATTGGTTTGAATTCTATTTGATAAATCATACAATATAATAGGAACAACGTACTTAATTCTAACAAACAATTAAACAAATTAGTGAAAGACTAGAAAATATTGAGAGGGAATGAATTGATACTCATGACACCAAGGCGTTGAATTAATCAATATAGACCTATTTTTTCCCCTTTCTAGAATCTTTACTTTTATATAAAGTTTCATGGTCTGAATTTCTTCTCTCCACTATAAATGGATGAGTTTCTTGGATTCCTTGTCCACCTTTTACCTTAATATATTTTTTTTCTTGTCTTGTATTGATCATGGAAGAGATTTAAAGACGTGTAGTTAGACTTACAGGCGACCGACAATGGTTGTGGTGGAGTTGTAAGTACTCTTTTATTCTTAACCAGAGGTCTCGGGTTCGAGTCCTGATTACGAAGTCGCCTTTGTTAGAGAGCGTTTTACTTCCAATGTGGGACTTTCCGGCGCGAATCCAGATTTAATCGAGCCCCAATGCGGGTATCGGATACCGGATGAGAAACCAAAAAAAAGACATAGAGGCGGACCTACCCTTAAGGTAGGGGTCATTGTCCCTGGTAATTTCGAAAAAAATATATGTATATATATATCTTAATAACATTTATATATTTGATTGACATCCGAAGACTCAAAGTTTAGGCAGTTGCATTAGTTGATTTGGGGAGACACAATTTGACTTTAATGCATTGTCTAGGTTCGACTTCCAATTCAGCATTTGGTCAAATTTTTATTCAACAGCGGTGACTCCAACACTTTCCAATCGTGGGTCCGCCTCTGATTAGACACGCGTTCCTAAATAAAGTTTTTGAAAGTAAACGATAAATTTTAAATCGTAACGCAAGCAAGATATATTTTGTTGAATTATTCTTTTTTTCTATATCAAATCGAATAGAGAAGATTCATGTTACCATTCCAAACCATCTAAAATTGGTTAGGGATTAAGGTATAATGATCGACGTTCTTTTTGTGGAAGAAAAGTAAATTGTAACAATCTAATGGGCCTAGTGGAAAATAATATAGGAAAAATGATATTATATAGCCGCTGTAAAAATAATAGTCGAAAAAAATGTATAAAATTTGTATATTTTTTGTATATATATATACATTCTGTATGTTAAATATAAAAATTATATAAAATTTATACACTTTTTCAGCTATCTGACGTAAATAGTTTCTGGCGCGAGCTAAAAGTGATAATACTCCAATAATATAGTACTAATTGTTTTTTCTTATATGCAATTGTATCGGTTTCTCCATATTTGTTTTTTCAATTTATTAAAATCCCTCCCAATTTAGGAGGATCTATAGTATTTTTACACTTCCCTCCAGTGTGACCCGAACCAATGACATAACTATTTCTCCATATTTACTGAGAAACAAAACGATAGAATCTTATTCTAACACAGTTTTTAAATAGAAAATTGACTCAATTTGGAAAGTTAAAATGTACTTGGCAGAACCTGTTCTTTCTCCTTAAGAAGAGAATTGACCAAAACAACCTCTAAACAAGTTTCGTTTCAACAAGAATGATTAAATTCAAGGTCTGAAACTTCAGTTTTTTTTTTAAGGAAAGAAAATGAAAATATACGGAAACTTTCATTAGTGCTCGTATGAAAGGATAATCTTGATGCTATGTATATATTTGACTTATATATCAAAATTTCTATTTATTTACTAAACTTTCTGCGCATACATAAAATGAAAGGAATTATTAATAAATTATAGTATTAGTTACATACTGATAATGTCTATAACTTAAAATTAACTTACTAGATAAGATTACTATATATGTAAATATTATTATGTTTTTGTTTTCCTTCTGATATCCGGTATATGCATTAGGGTTCTAATTAATCTGGATTCACGCTGCGTAAGACTCATAAGAGAAAAAACGCTCTCTATAAAGATTTTTTCCATCTCAAATCCAAGAACTCTGGTTCACGATGAACTAATTTTATCAATCTCATCATAAATCTTGGTAATAGATAATTACTATCCAAAAATACAACAATAATAACGATTCACTAAAATCTCGTAAGTGAAGTCTGATTAGAGTAGTATGTACACAGACTTTATGCCTATCTCAAAATTCACTAAAATCTCGTAAGTGAAGTCTGATTAGAGTAGTATGTACACAGACTTTATGCCTATCTCAAAATTCACTAAAATCTCGTAAGTGAAGTCTGATTAGAGTAGTATGTACACAGACTTTATGCCTATCTCAAAATTCACTAAAATCTCGTAAGTGAAGTCTGATTAGAGTAGTATGTACACAGACTTTATGCCTATCTCGAAAGAGTAAAGATACTATTTCCGAAACATACTCTTCGTACTATCCAAATTGTTTTTTTCAGACTATCCAAAAATAAATCTTTAAAAAAAAAAACAAAAAATGCTCCTGAGTATCAGGAGAGTATTTGCAAACTACCAAACAAAACAACCCTCCAATAAATACTCTTCAAATCTCCCTCTTTCTCTCTCTACGAAGCTTCCTCGAAGCTTACTATGGATTCCTACTCCTTCCCTCCATTTAACCTCAGCTTCTTCCTCTTTCTTTCCTCACACCAACTCTCTTTTCTCTCTGCAAATTCTTAACTATGAAGCTTATCAAAAACTTGCCCAAAAAGTTCTTCAAGTCCAAAAAAACCCGCTCCATTTCCCGATCCGATGATCCGTCTTTCAGCTCCGGTACAACATCTTCGGAATATTCCCTTCACAAGCCCTACAACGGCCTCTCTACTCCTACGAGCGTCTTGCCGACGACGTTATCCAACGAGATCTCCGCTGAAGATTGGTCGTCGGAGGAGATTTCCAACTCCGGCGTCTACTCCGACCTAGTCCAAGCATTTTCACTCATCGACGGCGACGGAGATGGTAAAATAAGGAAGGAACAGCTCGAGGCGATTTTGAGTCGAGTTGGTGGTAAATCGCCGCCGAGTGAGGAGGAGCTGATATCGTTACTGAACGAAGTGGATAAGAATGGCGATGGATGTATAAGTTTGGAGGATTTTGGGATTATTAGCTCGGCGTTTGAGCTTACGGAGGCGACGACGGCGGAAGACGGTGGAGACGAGATGAGAGATGCGTTTGATTTCTTCGACACCGATCACGACGGGAAAATAACCGCCGAGGAATTGTTCAACGTGTTTAGAATGATCGGCGATGCGCGGTGCACGTTAGAGGATTGTAGGCGCATGATAAGAAGCGTGGATAAAAATGGAGATGGGTTCGTGTGCTTCGAGGACTTTTGCCTTATGATGGAACATCAGAGATGAAGAAAAACAGTCATTTTATTATTTTGTTTTATTTGGGAGAATGGGTTTGTGTTTAATCAAGGGTTGGGATCAAATAGGACTCTTGATTGGGTTAATCTAACGGCTAGGATTGATCTATATTTGGAAGTTTTATCGAGCTGTCTATATATTATATATAAAATGAGAACAAATTCCATCCTTTTTAACCCATGATATATTAAGCACTGGATGCTATATATATCTCTTTAGATTCTATAATTACTAGCACAATATTGTTCCTTTTTGAGATTTTTTCTTATCTCGATATAACTTATAAAGTTATTTGTGTGCCTGGAAAATATTTAAATTAGATTATTTTTTCAATATTATACTTTGTTTGATACAAAATAACAAGAAAATTGTATTACATAAACTGAAATATATATATATATGGAGTGTTAAAAACATGTCTCTTGTAATCCTGATCCTTGAATTTGTATACACGAGAGTGTAAAAAAATTTACACTGTCAAATTAAAGGAACCTGCAACAATAAATAATTATGCTTAGTAAGTATAATTTGTTAATTTAGAAAATAATGCAAATAATATATTATATTATAACAATATACATACAACTTAGATATGAGTTGAGCTTAGCAAAATAAATGATGATTTATATAATAAATTTCAACTTGTTCAGGATGATGCACAATTATTATTGTAATATTGATGCCTTAAAAGTTCTTTATATATAAGGGTCATTTGTTTACCGTGATTTATTTTATAATTTCGGTATAGAACTCGAAGTTATTTTATTCTTGGTTGGTTTTATATAATCTCCGATATAAAGAATACTATATTATTTTATAGGGATTTAACATGAGATACTAATATTAGCATAACATCAGTAAAAATATATTTGCACGCACTAAACAATTCTAGGAGTATTAATCTCAAATCTAAATATTAAAGTTTCAGCATCATGATCCCGACATAACTTTAACTACGAGCCAAACGAATATGTAATTTAAATTCTATGTCTAAAGGATAGATCATTAATTTGTGAATTCCCTTTTCAAAGTAAGATGAGTGTGGGAAACGATAAGATCAAAGAAAATTGTCATATCACAATCACATTCTTATCTTTTACCATCCACAAGGGAGGGGTAACTATATACTAAATTAATGTATTGTTCAATCACAAGACAATGCATATTTTTAATATTGGTATATGTAGAGTTTTGCGCAAACGACGTCAGCATATTTGATATTTAGCTTGTATTATTTTGCGCTCAATAATGGAATGCATAGTCCAATCAACAAATTCACAGGGTCCGTTAGACCAAAGCAGATAATACGTGCTATAGCCTTGAGCTGCGACAGACACATATTGTCCACTTTAGTCCAACTGATCTTATAGCGCTTCAATTTCCTTTCCTTTACGTCTTTAGTCTTTACAATGTAGGATTCATCTGCGATATTATATGTGCCACTTCGTTCAAAACTTGCCAATCTAGAAATATGTCCGTTATTTATTTCGACCCGCCCATTGTCAAGGATACCATATACAGGGGCGGATGTAGTACATTAACGACTTGTTTAATTGAATTTATAACTTTCGACGTAGAGTGTAAATTTATACATAAAAATTTATTAAAATTATAAAAATAGTATATATGAACTCATAACTTAAAAAATATAATGGGTTCAATGCAAAAACATTAAAAATTAAACTCATAGAGTTTAAATCCAGAATCCGCCTCAAATTAAGTATCAGTTGATGTTTGCGAGTAATAAGAGTGCTATTTCTTGACAAAAAGAACTTGAGGTCAAATGGACTAACTAGGAAATTATATGCTCCTAGATTGATCCATGTCACATGCGGGCATGTTCTGCAATTAGCAAAAAGACTTGATAAATGGCCAAGCAAATATCTAGGAACAACTGCAATGATCTTGGAGATTTCATTTAGCGTCGTAAATAAACAATATAATAATGATAATTTGACCGAACCTCAAGAAACGAGAAGTTTTTTTTTTTCCACGAATTGAGATGCAAATAGCTTTAAAGTTTTATTTAAGTTGTATGCGCCGTAACAATAATAACAAATTCAGTATAGTTTCACGAGTGAGGTCTGATAATGGTAGTGTGCGTTACACCTAAGTTTCAATAATGACAATAGTGCAAATCTAACTGTATCTATTTAATCCAGTTAATTACAGGAAATCAGAATGATAGTACTACTTCAAAGGAAGTCCTTTTGGTAAGGACATCAGAAAGGAAACAAGATCAAATGAAGCAAGAACAATGCTAAATCAAAGGATGTCAAGGCCATCAAAAAGGAAACAAAATCAAAGACAGGTGCTAAAAGAAGTTAGAACAATGCTAAATCAAAGAACGTCAAGGCTATCAAAAAGGAAACAAATCAAGTGCAGCCGCTTCAAGGATTGATTCGAAATCTAGAGATACTCAACATTGATCGATCAAGTCAAGCCACAAATCACTCCCTTGATTATGGATATACGTAAACGAATCCAGTCCATCTCGTGCAGGATTCAGAGGCACCCCTTGGGTCAAATCTCTTAGAATTTTTTGTGCCTCAATCAAGGATCAATCTGCAACGACTACTCAAAACTTTCCTATAAGAAAATTGGCAAACTCAAGGATTCAGCACGCAACTACATCATCTATTTCTAAGCCTTTCTAGTTTTTAGTACAAACACTGTATTCTTGAGTTTACTAGTGTCACAAAAAATAGGAAGAGTTAGAACACAAAACGAGAGTTGTGTCAATACTGTAAAGAATTACTGTTGTTGTATATCGTTGGTGGTGAACGCACTAAAACCATCACTGCTATAAATATTTATCAAGATCTAAGAGAATCTTTGTGACCTAAGGGAGCTGGACGTAGGTGCCACACCAGTACTGAACTAGTATAAAAACTGTTGTGTCTTCTTTACCTTCCTGTTCATTTAGTTTATCTCTACTGAAATCGATCACTGAGCAAAGTCTGGTCAACTAAACTCATACTTAGTCAACTAAGATTTTTAAATCGGCTACAATTTATCCTCTCCCTCCCCCCTCCCGTACTTTCAGTGTGTATACAAATCTTATCCCTATCTTGAGAAGACAGATAAACTGTTTCGGGTAGACCATCGGCTCAAATAATATATTCACTGACAACATAATAAATATTTTACAACGTCAATGTAAATTATGTTATATTTATGTTACTATTTACTACTTTATTTATTTTAGGTTACCGATCAATATTATTAAATATGGTTATCTTTTATCGTTAAAGTAACCTGAAGTTAAACTCAATTTCCAATTATTTCCCATAAGGATTATACGTACCTAATCAATTTGTTTATAGGTATCGTACAGTTTTTTTTTTAAACCCCTCCCAAATTAGGAAGATCTATAGTGTTTTCACTCTTCCCTCCAGCGTGACTCGAACCCAATCGTACAACTGAAAATATTTTATTAGCATGTCCGACTATGCTGCCACCATACGTAACTGTGATAATATAATAACATGGTTTAATATTTTTTTAATGCTGATAAAAGAGGTCGTACGAATGAATGAGAGAATGTCTAAGAATAATTAGTATTTCAATTAAATAATAAGCTACATTACGGAAGACTTTCTTTTTGATTAATAATAGATTTTTTTTTTTTGATTTCTCACTCAGTATTTCATACCTCCTTAGAGACCAACTAATTTGACTTCACGCTGCATAATGCTAATATTTAAAGAAAAATACTTCCTACCAAAATTTCAGGCTCGAACCCGAGATAATTGGTAGAGAACATAAAAAAAGAATTTCTCTGAATTGTTTTTATTTTTTGTTACCTAACAACAAAGAAGAATTCGAGGATTATGCATTTGTTAGTGATTTTAAGTAATTTGTTAAACAAATTTCTAACATTTGGGATATGATCAGACAAGTTATACGTAAACGTTATTCAATTGTGGCAACCATTTCAAAAACAAATAATTAAACACATAAATATAGTCATAAAAAGGATATTATCGGGAAGCCTTGTTTGAACAAACAGACAGAAAATCCAAGACTATTTTCCAAGAAACGGAGTGTTTTTTCCAAGGCTGCTACTATCTTTATTCTAGGTAAATTCACCGATGATCACTTAATTTTTACTTTATTGCACTATAGTCATTTAAATAACTTTTATAATAAAAAAGTTATTCAACTTTGCTTAAATATCTCAAAAAGACAGTAAACATTTTTTTCATAACAAAAGAGTCACTTAACTTTGCCTGAGTATCATCTGTCTTTTGTTTCCTCCTAATGACTTTACGGATATTTAGGTAAAGTCAAAGTAATTCTTAGGTTATAATAAATTATTTAGCGACTCTTATGATATTTGGGTCAAATTAAGCAACTTTTTAGTATAAAAATAATTTTATTTTATTACAACAAAATAAAAATTGGGTAATCATTCATAAAACCAACTCGTTGATTGAGAAATTTTGTGATGTTTCTTGTTTTTGGATCAGTCTTTAGCTTCCATGAAACTTCGTAGGGAGTTAGTAAAAAGACAATATATGGCCTAGACTTTTCTTCACCAATTGGCTTGGAATTAAAAGATAAAAGATGTGACAGCTAATAGTGTGTATTTTGGACTTTAGGGGAATCAAAATTTCCATGGAAATTAATTGCTTTCAGTTTTAGGTGCAAAGATTTAATACATGTTTCTTTTTATTGATAAGATTTAAGTCGCGATCAAGGGGTTTGGCACGATGGTTAGGATCCTTCCATCCTTATTGTTATACGAGACTTAAGGTTTGAGTCCTCAGCTCGAGGGATGATTTAGAGCAAAGGCAAGTTATATCTGTGTAATCTATAGGTCACTGGTTCGAGCCGTAAAATTAGCCACAAATACTTGCATCAATGTAAGCTACCTACATTACACCCCTTGAGGTGCGCCCCTTCCCCGGACCTGAGCTAACACGAGATGCTTTGTTGCCGCTCTTCCCTTTTTTACTCAGTGAGTTTACCCGGCATTTACCCCTTAACGGAATTATACCCAGCTCTAATCCAAGTTAATCTAGAAAATGAGTTTAAATGCTAAATGCCAAAAAGAAAAGAGGGGCCTTTTTGGATTGGTTTTTTCTATGGTACAGTCGAAGTAGTTGGCAAAGTTATCAACTAAAGGTACTCCTAGTTTTAAGTGTTTGGCCAACATGACAACAAAATGACAACAGATGTGAACTACCAATTTTCATATGTTTTTATTTTATTTTTAACAAGAGTGATTTCTGAATTACCTTGCGCGCACTTTAGCTTATTCCATGAGACACTTGCTACCTCACACCAGCAGTAATTAAGAAGTCGACTCAAACTTGCTGACTTCGTAAAAACGTATACAAGGTAAAATATAAAGAAGAAAAAAGGAGTTAATTATGCGTTTCAAGTCAAAACACTTGCTATAAAATATGGTTTCTTCTTCAGCATTCAGGATTGTTGGATTATATGAAAAAGAAATACAATGAGTTTCTTTTTTAATGTTAAATATTCTTTGATTAGATCAACCACGATGCTGGTGACTGGCCTTATGATTGCTCTATGAGAGGAAGATGGAGTACGAGAATCAAAGCACCTAATTTTTTTAATGTGAATTCGAGCATAGGTAAGTCTATATCAAATAATAACATAGTATTTTTGTAGTAATAGTTTGGAAGCCAAGTAAAACTTAAGACATACTTGAGAACAATAATTTGTTTGCTGGTAAAAAGTTTCACCTACATTTTTTTCTATAACCCCGGTGTCAGGTCCAGCTTACTAGCACCTTGACTAATTCCACCGGATACCTACTAGCTCACACCAGCAACAGGTACCAAATAACTCTATCCATCAAATTTCTAACCCCACTTTATTGATCGCTAGGCCACACCCTTAGGTGCGAAAAAAAAAGTTTCACCTACATGCACAAGGCACACACTAGACACATACACAGAGATCCACCCATAAGACTATGCTATTACAACATACTTCAATATGAAGTGAAAAAACATAGACATAGTAAGAGGAATAGAAAAAGTATGAGACTTAACTCTTTTTCTTCTATCATAGAGCATAAGATCAACTCAAGATCTAAAAGCAAGGCAGAGAGGGTCCTTACCGGCGCTGAATTGCCAACTAAATGCAACTCGAATTGCAGTCGAGATGATCATGTATACCCCGCCATGTATCATTCCCTCTTTCCATAGATGAGATAGAAAGAAAAAAAACATAAAAGATACAATAACCGTGCCGTACATGAGATATCCACAAAGGACACTAAGGATGATCATGATCAATCAACTCTTTCAGCCTCTGCATTTACAAGTTATATGTGATACTTGAGACCAAGAACTAATTTCTTCATTGAAGAAAATTTGCCGCTAGTCTATCTATATAAACTATTGATCGTCAAAAGACCATTGCATTACTAAGACATGCCTCTCGATCCATCAAGGTAAATTTGAAAGACATGAAAGTAATATTACCAACAAGAGGAGGGTGCTTTGAAAGCTAAGTTCCAAATATGTAATACTAGAGAAGGGTTTTGCATCCAAAGTTCCAAATATGTCATTTTTTCACAATATTGACCCCATTCTAACTCCAAATAAAACATGAAAGAAACACATACCTAGAGAAAAGTAACTTAAAAGGAGCTTTCTATTCTAAGATCACTAACCGGTACAAGCACCAGAAAAGCTGATTTACATTAAAGATTCAAACTAAAAAGAAAGAGATAACTTGAAATTCAAATTCCGAGATACCTATCACATCTTCAGAACCACACCTTCTCATCAACTGAGCTACTGAAAAAATAGAACAAATATGTTTCCCTTTTCATCAACTCCTAATCACTGAACAGTCATTGTTCTTCTTTCACAGAAATAGAGCAGAGCAAAGATAAATAATCAAACTTCGTCTAATCAAAGAATGGAGCTAAGGCTGTAAATCTATAAGTACCAGATCACATCATCTTGACATTTCTTTTATTAGAAGAAATGCTTGTGTTGGCGTATAGCTGGAATCATGTTTTCGAAATTATGCTCTCTTATCAAGCCAACTACGAGAACATTGTTATTACAAGCCACCACCTGTTTTCCTTAATAGAAGAAGTAATTATATTTACAGCAAATATTTAGTGTTTCAAAGTTCTGAACGTAACAAATGTAAATCAAGCCATTTCCTTCTTTACCAATGAACAGTTAACTATGTATTCAACTCTTGAGGAAAAACTTCAATGATGTGCTGATGCCTAAGCACCTATGGTGTACATGTGCTATAGTGATGACTTCTTTCTATATTCGAAATTTCTTCCAACTTTAAAGCATGATTAACAATAATGTGCAGATTAGGTAGATAACAAACTTATCTCGAGGAAATATATGAAGTAAAACATGTAATCAACCATACTTCTTCGACTTAGTGGGTGTATTCTCATTGTATAAAAACTGTAGTTTACAGCATTCTTCAACTAATCCACATGCAAAAGAGAAGCACAGTCAGTGTCTTGCAAAGTTAGTCTACCTAAGTACAAGTCACTAATATGGTTTGAGCATAAAGGGATGCATCTCTTGTTCAAACTCTCATGTATAGCACCCATTCCTGGAACCCACTTACTTCTATCCGACGGATCCAAATTAAGAAGTTTCTTAAGTACCCTAATCCTGTAGACAATCGTATCTCTTCTGTCGCAAAAATGAGCAGCACATCGGTAAGGGGGCTCATCAGAAGCTAATCTTATCAATGCCATTCCGAGAGAAACATCCACAGGCTTTGGATCAATAAGATCATTATCACCCATCATTTTGACTTCCCTTTCTGTCGGAAAATACATTTCTTCAACCCCATTAACATTTGAAACTTTCAGATCTTTGGTGTAATGTCTGATTGCCTCCCGCTTCGTGGATTCATGCTTCTCCGCTAAAGTCAAGATGCACGAGAATCTCAAATGATAAGATACTATAATCTTCACCTTTCTGAAGTTGTGGCAGCAGCAAAAGAAATCAAGCCACCTTCTCCCTATACCGGCATACCACTTGATAATATCAATATCTTCAAGAGCCATAAGTAAACTAATCGGTCTAGGACGGCCCATATGATTTGTAAATCCAACCAGCTTAACTGCCTTCCTAACAATTTCTAAGGGGGCCTCGACTTTGATGCATAACTTTGTCAGATCTGCAACTGTCTGATCAGAGTATTTCCTTTCCTCTTCTTCCTCTGCTTTCTTTACTTGTTCCTCTAATACTCTTTTTGCTTTGACAGGATTTACGTAACTGTCAACTTGTTCTTGAAAGTTGTCATAAGAATCCACTAGTTCTCGCGGCAGTTGATCTCTGATTCTTTTCAAAGAGAGGAAGTCACCAGTAGAGAGCATCCGGTGCCATTCCCAACGCTCATCGACAGATTCCAAAAAGTCTTGCATGACCTCTTCAGCCCAAGATCCAAAAATTTGGTTGACTTCACTCTCAATCGGGAAATCAGTTTTGAAATCATTACCACGCTGCAACTTCTTAAATACATGACTGAATATCTTCATTCCCAATTTCTTCCTATTAGTCTCTTTAGCATTTCTCAACTCCATAGCTCTAACTTCTTTCTGTCGGAGGTACTTCTTCCTCGCCCTAATCGCCTTTTGTGACATCGGTGGGTGCAACACAGACGGTGTAACTGCCCGAAGCTCCATTCCCAAAAATTCTATCTTCTCAGAAGTAGCACTATGAATAACAGTTCTAACCTTATCAATACCGAATTCCATATCTTTCTCAAGAATTTGAACAAGCCTACTCTTCAAATCCATAGTCATCATCTTTGTTCCCGACGAGATAACCAATATCTCATCCAAATATCNCATTACCACGCTTCAACTTCTTAAATACATGACTGAATATCTTCATTCCCAATTTCTTCCTATTAGTCTCTTTAGCATTTCTCAACTCCATAGCTCTAACTTCTTTCTGTCGGAGGTACTTCTTCCTCGCCCTAATCGCCTTTTGTGACATCGGTGGGTGCAACACAGACGGTGTAACTGCCCGAAGCTCCATTCCCAAAAATTCTATCTTCTCAGAAGTAGCACTATGAATAACAGTTCTAACCTTATCAATACCGAATTCCATATCTTTCTCAAGAATTTGAACAAGCCTACTCTTCAAATCCATAGTCATCATCTTTGTTCCCGACGAGATAACCAATATCTCATCCAAATATCTAACTGCATATATCTTCAATGGCTTATAAAAAGCGTTCCCCGAATATCCCTCATCAAGTTCATTAGCATCAACTCTCGGATTCTCCCTACTCGTTTTAAGTCTTAAATCTTGAATCTCCTTATCAAAACTATTAAAGTAAATGTTAATCAAAATTGAACTCAACCCACATTCTTGAGGAAACCCTCTACCTAAATAACAACCACCCAATTGAATACTCACTATTTCACACTCAAACAGCGTTTTTATCAAATCAATCAATGCCACATCATCAATTTTCTCTTCCATAACATTACACAATTTAAGAACATGCTTATTTTCAAAATTGGCAGGATTCAAATTAACAGTAAACCACCAACTGGGGTTCTCAACAGAGTTCTTAAGGTAACGAATAGCGGTGTGTCGGCCCATATTAACACGTCCACCATAACAAAAAGTCACAAACCTATCATCATATATAACTTCAAGAACCATTCTAATAGCTTCAATAACTACTTTAAGCTTTAAATTAGGAAGCACAAGTGATTTACCTATGATAAAGCTGCAATCTTTGATGTCAAATTGGTTTGTAGAGAGCTGAAAAGAGAGTTCTTGAAGTGAGAAAAAACGGGTTGAAACAGAATAAAGAGTGAGTTGGGGGGTAGTTTTGTAATTGTCATTTGGGGGTTTGAGATTGTGGCAAGCTGTGAGGAGGAAAGAGGGTAAAGAGATGATGTTTTTGAGGAGGTTGTGAAATTTTCCATGGTTATAATTGGAGAATATGAGGTTCTTGATTTCTGATTGTGAAAGGGTTGAAAGATGGAGTTTTGGAAGTGAAAAAGGTTTAATCTTGGAAGCAAAGTGCAGAGTAAAGGTGGGTTTGGTTCTTTTGAGAGTTAATAGCATTGAAGCTTTGAGGGTGCACAAGAAAATTTTGTGTGATTTTCACTTCCAATTTGAAGTTTTTTGGTAGAATCAGCTAATAAGTAGCCTATGGCTATATATAGGTAAAATTTTAAATATTTACGTCAAATCAATTAATATAGATTAAGTACTCCAGTATTTTTCATATAGAAATTTATCGCTTAATTTAATTTTGAACTGAACATTAGGTGAAGAGGAAAGAGTTGAAAGGTTTGAAGTCTTGGAAGTGAGAAAAATGTAATTTTGGAAGTAAATTTCAGTGTGAAGGTGGGTCTGTTAATTCTAAGAATAATGGTAAAAATCGTCCGTAAGATTAAAGGGTGGAAATAATATCTTGAATAAGTTTAAGAGAAAACTTATATATGTGCACTTAATCTAGAATCTATCAAACAGTCTATACAAATGATATACATATTTTAGCTGCTGCAAGCTAGGATGCCAGCTCAGATGCCATGGAAGCACACACCTAAGCCTATTCAATGTGTTTGTTGTTGCTAGTTTTTAAATTTCAGTTGGCGGAAAAGTTAGTTAAGCTCTAATTTTCAGCTTATGCATTTCCTTTGCATTTTCATAGATAAATAGGACAATTGTAATAGATGAACACATGTCTTGAATGACAATTGAACTCTGATCTCTCTCCTTCTCTATTCTCAGCTCGTCTTCTCTTTTCCTTCTCTTCTTCTTCGTATTTAATGTTACATTGCTTCTCGATACCAGAATTTGGTATCAATTGGTATCAGAGCTCGTAGACGATGGGACCACACAGAACTGTAGATGTTGTGACGGAAAATCAACCCATGAATTTGTAGGAGCAATATGAAGATCTAGCAGCTCAGCGGCTAGATCTAAGGGAAGAAATGAATAAAAAACAACGAAAATTAAGAGAAGACTTGGACAAACGCCATGCTGAGCTGCTTCAGATGGTAAGTTCCCTCAAAAACTCATTCGATGGCTTTCAATTGAGTCAGCAATCGAAGGACAATGCTTCTACTTCGACTGCCAGGGATAAGGTGCTACAATTTGGATAAAGCATCCTTGGTCCAAATCCTTATGGTGTTAATACAAATCAAGGTCATAATTTGATTTTTCCTCGTTTTAATGGAGAAAATTTGAAAAGCTGGTTGTATCAAATTGAACATTACTTTTGTGTTGATAACACTCCTCTCAATCAGAGAGTGAGTTTAGTTATAATGAATTTGGATGATAAGGCATTGGAATGGCATCAGTCTTACATGAAGTGTCGTGAATCAATTGAGCTTCCTAACTGGGATGAATATTTGGCTGCTTTGGTTGAGACTCTAGTGAAGAATTCTCTGATCCGATGTTAGAATTAAAATAGTTGAGACAGATTTCATCAGTTAGGGAATTCCAGTTTGCTTTTTCTCGACTCTTAGCTCAATGTGATTTATCTGTAAGCCAAGCCATCTCTTGTTTCCTAGGTGGACTTAAGGATGAGTTGGTTTATACTGTGAAGATGCATGAGCCTCAAACTCTATCTAAAACATATAGGTTAGCCAGATTTGCAGAAGCAACATTGCTTGCTAATGCTAGGTCACAAAGGTCCAACTCTAGAGGTCACTCTTATTTTGCTATGAAGAGGCCTAGCTATGACTCTACACAGTCCAAACTACACCCTACTAGTGCTGCTCCAGTACCTAAATTAGCACTACCTAGTCCTCGAGCTCCTGTTGCTCCTAAGAATAGAAGGACCATTTCCCCTGCTGAAATGCAAGCTAAGAGAGCACAGGGATTATGCTACTTTTGTGATGACAAATACACTCCTAGGCATAAGTGCACACTCCCTAAGCAATTGTTTGTGTTGGACTTGGAGTATGGAGATGATGAAAGCTCAGAAGAAGCAGTACCAAAGACAAATGATGATGCTACTAATGAGGAATGGTCTGTTACTAAATGAGATCCTCCTATGATCTCCTTGTGTGCACTGAGTGGCATACAAGGAGCACAAACTATACATGTGATTGGCTATAGCAACAAGAGTCCATTGCAAATTCCTTTGGATGGAAGAAGCACTCACAATTTCATAGATTGTGAATCTGCTAAAAGGCTAGGTTGTCAAGTTGATCCCACTAAGGTTGGCTATGTCAGCCTTGGTAATAACTCTATGGAGGCCGCTTCTGGGGTGGTGACAAACTTTCAATGGATGTTGCAAGGCACAACCTACACTTCTGATCTCATTGTCTTTCCAGTAGGGAAAGATGATCTGGTTTTGGGAGCATTGTGGATGAAAACTTTGGGGCCAGCTACTATGGATTATACAACCTTAACTATGTCCTTCACTTATCAGGGCAAATTTCATCTACTTAAAGGAGTATATGAGGAGTGTAAGTTCTCGAACACCAAGGCTGTTAATAAAATGAATGGAGATGATGTCCATCTCTTTATGTTACAAGTACTATTTACTGAGCCTGCATTATAGTCAACCAATCAGCTTAATGTACTGCACCTTCCTCAGGAGTTCCAAACTCCTGCTGTCATTGAAGAACTCCTATCTCAGTACCATCAGGTGTTTGCAGAACCCACCACCTTACCTCCTCAAAGAGGTTCTTTTGATCACAACATTCCATTGCAACCTGGGACTAAACCAATCAACATACGACCTTACAAGTATTCTTCTATGAAGAAAGACATCATTGAAAAACTGGTCAAAGACATGCCGCAAGAAGGTGTAATTCAGTATAGCAACAGTCCTTTTGCATCACATGTGGTGTTGGTAGGCAAAAAAGATGGTTTCTGGAGATTATGCGTGGACTACAGGGAGTTGAATCAATGTACTGTCAAGGACAAATTCCCTATTCCCATCATAGATGACTTATTGGATGAATTAGCTAGAGCAGTGGTATTCTCTAAAATTGATCTTCGGTCAGGTTATCATCAAATAAGAATGGTGATAACTGACATTCCCAAAACAGCCTTCAAGACTCACTTAGGCCATTATGAGTATTTGGTCATGCCATTTGGATTAACCAATGCTCCTTCTACCTTTTAGTGCCTCATGAATCACCTATTTTAGCATTTTCTAAGGAAATTTATTCTGATTTTTTAATAATATTCTTATATATAGCAGGAATTTACAGGATCATGCATTACACTTGCAGCAGATGTTTGAGGTCATGGTGCATAACAGTCTGCTAGCTAAGCAATCTAAATATGTCTTTGGAGTTGCAAGTTTCTGGAGTATTTAGGACACTTCATCTCTAGTGAAGGGGTATCTACAAATCCTAAGAAAATCACAATTGTTCAACACTGGCCTACTCCCACCACACTCAAACAACTAAGAGGCTTCCTGGGATTGGCAGGGTATTATAGGAAATTTATCAAAGGTTATGGTCTCATCAATCGACCACTCACTGAATTATGAAGGAAAGATAATTTCAAATGGTCTGAAAGTGCTGCTCATGCCTTCTCTGCACTGAAGCTAGCTTTAAAAACTGCTCCAATCCTAGCTCTGCCAGACTATTCTACTCCTTTTGTAGTAGAAATAGATGCCAGTGAAACAAGCATTTGAGATATTCTAATGCAACATGGTCATCCTATAGCCTTCATCAATAAAGGTTTAGCCCCTAGACATCTTGCACTATCAGTTTATGAAAGGGAACTACTTGCACTAGTTTTTGCTGCCATCAAATGGTCCCATTATTTGCTTGGTCAACATTTCATTCTTAAAACTGACCAAAAGGCTATGAAGTATTTGTTGGAGCAAAAAGTTGCATACTGATTCACAATTGAGGTGGCTAGCTAAGTTACTCCCTTTTGACTTTGAAATACAGTACAAAAAGGGAAAGGAAAATGTTGCTATAGATTCATGGTGCTGAACTCATGTCCTTGATGATGTCTTCTGTTCAAGCTGAGCTTTGGCAGGAGATCACAATTGGGTGTACTTCTGATCCTGAGTTAAAAATCCTCATTGCTTCCTTGCAACACACACCTCAGAAGCACTACACTTAGATCAATGATCAACTAAGGAGAAAGGGCAAGCTTGTCATAGGACATGATGCTGGCTTGAGACACAAGATCCTCACTCTATGGCATTCCACTCCCTCAAGTGGACATTCAGGGATTGATGCCATCACAAGGAAGGTGGTGGCATACTTCTATTGGAAAAAGGGATCGGGAAGGATATCTTGGACTTCATTCACAAATGTGATGTCTGTCAGAGAAACAAATATGACACTTCTACATATCCTGGCTTGTTGCAACCTTTACCAATACCTTCATTGCCTTGGATTGACACTAATATAAATTTCATAGAGGGGTTACCTAAATCTAAAGGGAAGACTGTTATTTGGGTCATTATAGACAGGATCACTAAGTATGGTCATTTCATTGCCATTTCTTATCCTTATACTGCCCAAACTCTTGCTCATGTGTTTTTGGATACTATATTTAAACTTCATGGGTTCTCTGCTTCCATTACTAGTGATAGGGATCCCATATTCATCAACTCTTTTTGGAAGGAATTCTTGTCAGCTCAAGGTGTCACATTGCATACTTCAACTACTTACCATCCTCAAACAGATGGTCAGAGTTAAGTGCTCAACAGGTGTTTAGAGACCTACTTGAGATGCTTTTGCAAAGATTCTCCCACTGATTGGGGTGCCTTCTTATCCATAGCAGAATGGTGGTACAATTCTTGTCCTCATTCTGCTATTCAAACCTCTCATTTTGAACTCCTATATGGCTATCCTCCTCCTATACACCTTCCCTATCTTCCTGAAGATTCTTCTGTTGGTGTTGTTGAGGACATCATGTTGGTTAGGGAATTCAAGGTCCAGCTGGCTAAATTTTATCTCTGTCGAGCTCAGCAGAGAATGCAAGCTCAAGCTAACAACCACAGGTCTGATAAAGCATTCCAGGTGGGAGATTGGGTCTTTGTCAAGCTGCAGCCCTATATACAGTCTACCCTCTCTATTTCTTCTTATCATAAGCTCACTTCTATGTATTTTGGCTCATATCATATTATTTAAAGAGTAGGAGTTGTTGCTTATAAACTTTTAATTT